TTACTTTCCTGGCTGTTACATATAACAGAGGAAAATTAAGCTGATCAGCCAAAAAAATTACCCCCCTCCCAAGATTTTTAAATTTTTTGACATAGGACCTTAAAACATTCAGAAAATTCAAAAGAATTTGGGGTTTATCTGAATATATGGAAGTTAGTGCATGTGGGGGGGGCATGATTTTGTTCATCCACTTTGAAGCTTAACAATTCCTATGCCTTTTATTAAAAATTTCTGAAATTTTACACAGCAGTTTGTATCAATATATGAACCATTGATTTTGAAAGTGGGGCAAGTCCATTTTATGTTATTGCTAGATATTTAATGGTTTGCATTTGAATGGATTTAAAAATATTCGAAAGCAGTAATAGACTTTTGTAGAATTTCGTTGGATGGCAATTTTATAAAAATTTATTTTCAGTAATAGACTTATTTTATATTTTTTGTGGTCTTATTTCATGTAAATTTAATATGCAAGAATGGTTATTCATGTTAGGTGAAAAAAATCATGATTTTGATATTGTTGCTAATAGCCTTGCCTCACTTTCAAAAGCAATGATTAGTTGACAATGTTGACTTTCTTTGAATGGAATATAATTATAATAACAAAAAATTGAATATTTTATTTATTTAATTATTTAATTTATTTCAACATTTCATACTTCTTTCGAAAAGCTACAATAAAACAAAAACTAAATTTAATTTTATAGGAAAAAGTGGAGAAAATAAGAAAAAATATTCAGTAATAAATTGCTTGCATATAATTATATTTCTTAGTTTAGATGGTGCAGATTTATAAAGTATTCATGATAAATGGGTGGTAGAGTAATAAATCCATCATATTTGTATATTTTTCTTTAGTAATAGGCCTAGTTTTTGCATTTAAAGATGATAATACTATTTTTCCAAAACTACTGGCCAACTCCTTTTGGTGATAAATCAAGAGTTTTAAATTGCAAATCTTTTTCTATTGATGTTTTATAAAACAATTTATATGGCACATTTCTTGAAAATCTTATCCAGAAAATAGTCAACCAATTGACAGTTTCTCCATCAGTATTTTTTGTTCTTTTCAAAATTGCCTCCTTCAAAGGTTTGGTTGAATAGAAGTCTTCATTTCATGTATTGAAAATGCATTATGTTTGTGATATTTTTGTAATAATTTGTAATAATCCTGGTGAAAAAAAGTTGCACTCCCACACTGTCATTATTTAGAGTGGATTTGCCTCTTTCAAAATCAACTCACAATAAATATTGTTAAATTATAAATTACTAGTAACAAATTTATACTAATATTAAAATATATTTATTGTGAATTGATTAAAAACATAAATTTTATGTTAATTTCTAATAAGAATTAGCTTTAACTATTTTTTTTTTTCACAAAATGGAGAGACCTCACTTTCAATGACTCATATTAGGAGTATTGATGCTATTAAATTTTGATGGTTAAAAATCAAGGGGGATGAGGGGAGATAGAGGAGGATTGTGTGTCATATCTTAAGTTTCAAAAGCATTTTTTATCTCAAAAACAGTTAATAAAGAAAAATTAGATGAATTTAGATGAGCAAAATAAAATCAAAATAAAATAAATTAATTTGAATTATAAATATTTATTAACAAAACCAAAATTAAAATATCACTCTCAATAAGAAAGATAAAATTGCATAGCATTACCATTGAAAGATAAAAAAATGTATTGACAAAATTATTTAATATACTATATATTTTTGTATTGATGAAATTATTTAAATAACAATATTTTTCTTAAAATATAGTATAATAAAACTGTTATGCAATTTTATTGAAAATGTAGATTGTTATTTGATTAATAAAGAAATCTTTAAGAAGCTAGTAATTTAAAAGAAATCTTTAAACTATATTTCTGTTCTCATTTTTAATCATAATAATATTTTATGAAAACGATATTTAAGAGAGTTTTAGAAGCTTATTCAGCCAAATTATAATAATAGATTAGCACAATAAAGTTATATGATAATATTATTTTCATAAAACATACTAAAAGAAACTGAAAGACAAATATTTCTCTTCCTCATATAAAGTTTCAAAATTATATTAATGAATGCACAGTAAGGTCATTTTTTAATACAGAATTGATATATATATTTGTGAATTTGTGTTTTCACAGAAAATGAATGGTTAGGTCTTAAGGCTATTCCTAATGGCACTGAATACAACTCTTTAATCAGCAAACCATGCTTCTTCAGTTTCTGACATTCTTAACATGAAGAAGTATTGCTATTCACTGTACATAGCCTGCTTTGCAAGTATTTTTTTTAAATAGTATATTTGATACAATATAATAAAATTTCACTTTATATATTCAGAAATATCATATAAAATGTTATTCATTACATTAGGAGCATTCAACTCACCAGGGATACTGTTGTCAGTCATGTGGATAATACAATATGACTTTCATTATTTAGTAGCTTGTCATCTGTTCTTTTGTTATGGTCATTTTTAATTTTACAAGCTTGTTAGTTGTGTGTATGAACGATAATAATTATGGGTTCCTAGATACCACATCCATCTAAGACAGATCAACATGCAGTTTTCAGTTTTGGGGAGCAGAAAGGTGTTAACAGGCCAACCAGGTAATGAGACTTGGTATCATTACAAACCAATGTCTAAAAAACAGTCTTCAACAGAAACATCAATCTTCCTCTAAAGAGCAAAAATTCAAGACATTGCTATTGGCAAGAAAAGTTTTGCTAACCCTTTTCTTTGACAATACTGCTTCTCCATTTCAAAATGTCCAATGTTACCATTAATCAAGATTTTAGACCACCTTAGAACAACGATTCCCAACTGGGGGTAAGTGCTTGATGATTTAGGGGTACACGAAAAAAAATTAATAATGGAGGATGTACCATAAGAATATTTGGATTCTATGTTAACACCTTTGGCAATGTCACAGCTCTAAATGCTTAGTTTTAAATAAAAATGTAATTATATTTTTATTGTATTTATCTCTGTCCTACCTGTGACATTTTTCAATTTAAAAAAAATATCTTTTTTACATGTAATTGTACAGCACTGTGTAACTGACAAAGGTGCCACTATTTGATGAGCATACAAAATAAAACTTAGGAAAATGGGCTGCCAAGGGGTACACAAGTCAAAAGAATTTGGGAACAATTACCTTAGAACAATCATTATGAATAAGCAGCCTGGCCATTTGTCTCATGGAGTCAACCTTATCCATACTTGTCCCTATTTCATGAACTCTCTCTGTGAGAAACATGCAGCACATAAAATACAAAACATTAGAACATCTACCTTGCAACACAAATATGTCATATTGCAATTTTCACATTATTTTGTCCACTGAAAGCAGTCCTGAAAAAATGGAATTTTGCTTTGGATGCTAAATCATAAAGGCTGTTCAATATTTCTTTGCCAGTAGCTATAAGACTTTTTGAGAAAAGAATGAGCTACTTAAGGACACAATAGGATGCATATTTCAATGCAGGCAGTGCTTTATTTAAATATTTATTGTATGTTATCTGTACATTTAGATAGGCAAATTTCATTTAAACTTTCCTAACAGTGAAACCATAAGTAAAATGTTTTAAACACAATTTAACATTTTAGAATGGAGCACAAATTTAGGCAGAATTTTTTATATTGTATATGATTATCTGCTTACATACTGCAACCCCTGCATAAAACAAAATAATACAGTAATAGATTTTTAATGATAATATTGTAATATATCTATATTATTCTTTTAACAAATATAAAAAAATAGCATTCTTTTTTCTTTAAATCTTCTTGAAAATTGTTATAAAATATATAAATTATAATAAATATTATTATGAATAGTGCTGCTTTAGAACAAATGCAAAACGTAGAATAATTTTTAACCATAACACATTTAAACAACACAATAATTGCATAATTCTTAATAATATTATTGATTACGTATTATTAATTATAGAATAACACTTTTTAATTATCCAAAAATAAAATAAAAATATATTTCATTCAAGCTATCTGTTCTATTGAAATTTAATAAATTCTTTAAAAAATAAAATATAAACTGAAAATTTGATAATTAGAATTACAAAATATCTGAAACTTAAATGAAAAAATTTATGCCAATTAAAGTTATTGCATTTAATGAATTGAATGTAATAAAAATTATGATTTATTTAAAGATAATTAGAATTTATTCTTAACTGTATAAAAAATTTTTTAATGTATAAACAGTAAATTTAAATATACTATAGGTAATCATTTAAAGATGAATATTATACAATATGTCATGCATTGCTTGACACAGTATCTTTTCCAAATTTCTATTTATAACAATATTATTAATATTTTCTATTAATAAACTATAGTGATTGTTCTAATATTTCAAGTTATTCAAAAATATTTGTGATGACAAATGAAAACTATTAATAATTTTATTTACTTCAAGCCACCAGTTGTAAGATTTTCTATTATCTATTCTTCCTATAATTATTCTATTAATTGTTTTTATAAATTGTCCCTTCTACACAGGATGTGATATTATATATCTTTTGTGGACAGATAGTTCAAAATAAATTTAAAATCTTTCCTAATAAAGATTTTTTTATTAAAATATTCAAAAAAAGGGAATCTTTTACAAGTGATATGCATTCATTTTATTAATTAGCTGAAAGCAGAAAACAATAATAAGAGAGTGATTGTTAGAGATAAATAATACTATTTTGTGAATGATTATATCTCTCATTCCAATTCATAATATAAACACTATCTTTAATAATCACAATGACTTTTTTACACTTGTAACTAATTGATGAACTAATAGTAGATCATTCTTTCTTGTTTTTGAATACTGCAATTAAAAATCTTCTCTAGAAAAGTTGCTAAACTATTTTAAGTTTCTCTATTTTCCAAAGACTATCTTGTAACATTTAGTGTACCAGTATATTTTCCAAAACTTAAATCAGAATAATAAATACAAAAAGTTAAAACTATATACAAACCTTCATAACTAAATCTCTATTTTCAGCAACAATGTAGTCCCATCGTTTCCAGTCCAATATTGAACATTGGGAACTTTGTGAAGTTTTTGGAAAAATCTGAACTGAATTATTACCTAAAACAATTTAAAATAATTTTTAGAATTTGTTACAAACATTGAAAAGTATACAAATAGGAGAATAACAGCTTAATGACCTACCTTGTTGGACAGACCCACTTTCTATCAATTTTTTTTCTAAAATATTAATTTGTTGTTGATACTGTGATTCAACTGTTTTCATTCGTTTTTCATAACCAAGCTAATAATAAATTTTAAATTGAAAATTATTATATTATAGTTTATGAAGATAAAAAGTATGTGATATAAACTGAAGTGTCAATAAACAAGAGACAGCAGATTAATAACATGCAATTTCTCCTTTCACCTGAATAACTCATGACATAGAGTTGAAATGAAGTGCTGGTATAGGTGTATGGGTATAATCATCCAGACATACTGAATGACTGTTTATAGTTCTACTATGTTGGTTAGAGATAACACCAAGTCATTGAAAACAGTCTGCATGTCTCAAAGGTAATTTATTGGATTCAAATTGGCAAGCATGGCAGTCAAGAGAGCATTGGGAAGTCATTAGAATACTCCTCAAATCAGTTTCATGTCACCAGTGTATAATGGTATTGTCTACTGAAACTCCTCTCCAAGATAAAGAGGTGGTGATTGTCATCATGAATGTTCTTGTAACAGGAATATTTCAAAATAAACTCCACTTTGATTAGTGGTCTAAGTCAGTTCCAACAGAATACACCTCACACCATCTAATCTTCCACTAATCTTTACAACTCCTTGCTAGTATGAAGAATCCATGGTTTTATGCAGGCATATGTACCAAACTATCTGCTCAAACATAAAATGGAATTTACTATATGATGATCTCATACAAAATGGAATGACCATGCAACATGACATCAGTCTACAGTTCAGTGTCAATGTTGTTCAATCTCAGCAAAGTGCATTGCATAATGCATTTTGCATGAGAAATGGTACACATAGATCATAGACTACAAAATTCCATAAAATGGAGTGTCTGCTGTACAGTCCACTGGCTAATGGATGTACAGACACTGCCATTGAAATGAAGCATAATTTGTTTCAATGTTGACTGCTATTTAAAGGTTGCAAGCCTGGAGAGCCATCAGTGGTCCTTATACCTGTCTTCATCCAGAGTATTTGCATCTGACACCAGTCTGTCTGCAATTTTGATATTCCTGGTACTCTTGAAACTGTGCCAAGAATACCCAAAAGTGATGAACACCTTGAGAATTAAAATATCCTATTTTTCTTGCACCTACAATATGACCTCAGTCAAACAATTACAAATCTTTTCCATATGATACTGTTACATCTGCTGGTTTGCTATGCAATGGCCATACCTCTAGTCTATTCATACCACATGACATGCTGATATGCTTTGCAATTCCTTTGGAAGGGAGACAAGAAACTTATGATGTTTTATGATGTATTATGACTTATGATGTATTATGATGTTTTTAATGTTTATGATGTTTTATTGTCTCTTGTTTTCTAGCACTTCAGTTTATAATAACAATAAATCTTATAAATGAAATTTTATGTAACTATGGATGATATATTTTATGAATAATTTGTCACAAATAAAATAATTGATGATGATCTCAGATATAGAAAACTAATTTTTTAACTAAGAAAGCTGAGTAAATAAAATTAATTTTAAAAAGAATAAACACTGGACAAGAAACACAAAATGGAGAACACTTTTCAAAATTCTGGAACAGAATAGTTCCATGAATATTTTTTCCAAACAAATCTTTTTATTTTTGAAGTCATGCTGTGACCTCAGCTGATTGGTCAATGGCCACGATGACAAGTCTATTCACTTCCTCATCAGATATCATATATCCTCTGTTAACTAATGAAAACCAGTGGAGATGAAGGCTTCCATCTCACAGGTAACTAGCAAACATTATCATATTATATTATATGGCCCAAACTGCAACTACAAAAAAAATAATTACGTATAGATTTTCATTGGCAGTTTTGGATGCGGAAGAAAATAATTTTTTAAAACTAATTTTTCAAGACAAACAATTATCAAGACCTTATCTTCTTTCAAAAAACATGTTAAACAATTGCTAGTACAACATACTGGCTATTGATACTTTTTATGCTATGCAAATTTATGGCTACTAAAGCATATTCTGGCTGAAAAACAGTCCTGATTAATTGTAACATATAAGCCTCTTGTTAAACATTATGTTTACCACTTGTTCTTTATTAAATAACAGCATTAAAAACAAATTTTGTTAACAATTATTTTATAAGATGTGTAATGAAATTACACATATTCATAAAATATTTTTATTATTAAACAAATTTTTTTTTAATAATTTAATTACTATCATGAAGATAATTATATTTTCATGATAAAAATTAGTTGACACCAAAAAATATTCTCTAATTAAAAATACCTTAATGTCTCGATATTGTTGTTCTAATTCTTTAAGATTTTGCTTTGATTGATGATCTTTAGTTTCTAATTCTTGTTGAAGTTTCTGTATTTTGTCTTCTAAACAATTTACAATATCTGATGGCTTTGCTTCACTTTTAATATTTTCGTTACTTTTTTGTAATTGTTCTTGTTGAATTTCTATAACTTTTTCTAAATCAGAAACCTAAAACAGAAAACTTATTTTTCATAACTTTTTTTAAATGAAAATACTTAATGCTATTATCAACTCTAATTCAATATATGCATTAAAATTAACAACAAATATGGTTTCATATATATTTATGTTAATTTATTTATTATAATATAAATTTTTTGTAATATTTAGCAATCAATATCATTATAAACAACAGTAAAAATTCAAAGTTGAGAAAATGTGCTTTTTATTTTTATTTTTCAAAAATTAGATAACTATTAAATTTAATAAAAATAAAAATTATTATATTAATAATAA